AATCAAGAATTAATAATTACTAAATATAAAAAGGGATATAAAAAAGAATATCAAAAATTATGTATCCAAAAAAAGGTTACTGAAAATTTTTAATTAATCTTTTTAATACTTTCAAAAATAATTACCCATATATTTAAAATTTTATTTTATTAAATAATTTTTTTATTAAATTATAATAAAAAATAAAACACAAAAAGTTTTGCCCCGAACTGTATATTTTAAACACTACAATTATATTATTGTATTATTTTATTATAATTAAATTTATTTTATTTTATTAATCGACAATTTAAAAATCGCAACTTAATATTAATTTTATCACAGATATTTGAAAATATAATTTAAGTTGTATGAAAAAAAAAATTTAATAAAGATTACTAACCTGATAAATAAAATCAAAGTTAAAAATTTTTTAAATTGTTACAAATTTCTTAATTTAAATTTATTTGTGCGCAATAATACAGTAAATGATAATTTATATAATACGTATACAGTACTACAGGAAAATAGTTTATTATAAGTGATCTTTAAAATGCCTATTGTTTTTCTATCATTTAGAAAAAATTCTGATTATCTTTATTAAATTATTTTCTAACTACATATATATTATAGAATCTTGATTAGATAGCTATAATATTGGATTATTAAACTGGTTTATTACCTCACCACTGTCCCTTGACGTTAGGCTACTTATACATAAAATCGATTATATTGAAAATTATAGTTTAAATTTTGACCTACAAATAAAAATCAACATACGTAATACAAAGAAGGTTCAGTTCGAAGCGCTAATAGTTACGCGAAATACTATATATGTAGATGACACCTACTGTGATTAGCAATGAAATTATTAAAGGGGGTCACCTATATTGCATTTAAACGACTCGATATACTTAAATTTACAGTATATTATATAAGACTCAATATTAAAATTTGCGTAAATAATGCTTTACTTTCCGTCGCGAATTGATGTCTTTATCTCATCTTTAGAATTGGTAAATTAATAAACTAACATCAAAACTTTAGGAATATAGGATTGTTTTAAAGTAGTGTAAGTTAAAAATAAATTCTATTTATGCTATTGAAAGCCCTTGATACCTCTAAAATCAAATGGACTTACTGATACCATAATAACGATACTTTAGAAAAATAAAATTATTTGAATGCACCAATATGTAATAAAATTAATAATTTTGTAAAAAATCTTAGATGCGCGGGTTTCTTTTTTCTACCTAAATGAAATAAAAATCTTAATTAGCTACATCATAGTGTTATGAAATATTATTGAAGATTCGTTTTCTTCTGCACACCTTCTACTCTAATAGAGTTTGATTTCAATATTACTGGTTTAACTTCGAGAGATACCTTTTCATTATTTTTAAATATATATTATATTTAGCAGTGAGTATACGCATAAAGGAATAGTTCAATTTACATATTCGTATCTGGATCTCCAAATATCTCATCGGCAAGGATTCTGAGTTCACGCGTCCAGGTCATTGGGTTTGTTTGCTCTAAAAGTTGTCTGATCATTAAATGTACAGATACGTGCAGAAAATATAAGAACTGTAGTCACCCTTATTTTTTGATTGCTGTTCAGCAAATTCAAGAAGTTGTTGGTTAAGATAATTCTGGTAGAGGGTCTCTCCTTTTTATATATATTTCAATGTTAATAAAAAGGAACCGAAAAAACAAAGGAATTTGCACTTACGACGTTCATCTATGCCATCTAAATATTTATGTTGGACAACCGATAATGAAGGAAGCGGTTGACTTGAGTGATTTTTGAAAGAATTCTTCAATATGGATGCAGAAATTGGATTGCATTCATCGTCTTTTGAGTCAGAATTTGTGTTTTCGGTTTCCTTGGCAGGTTTTGCCTTAGGACAAACTAATTCTCGATTTGCAATGCCGTCAATCCACGAGTTAAATACCCTCTCCAAATCACGTGAAGTAGGTCGCATATCAGGATCTTCGTTCCAGCAAGCTTGCATAATTAATGAATAATAGTCCGGTATATCTGAGGCAACTTCAGGGCGGATTCCTATTTGCAGAATTTGTCACAGATATCAAGATTGTATTGTTAGCCCTCCTCTTTAAAAATTTTTATCTTGGTAGATTCCGTTCTAAACATTTTAATGCCTATAATATAATTGTTTTATAGCGATTTGAATGTTAAGTATACATCCAAAATGATGGTTACCTGAACAAATGTCTAACGCCAGATCTACATCGTATTCTCTTCCCTCGAACGGTCGCTTGCCTGACCACAACTCAAACATAATCATTCCAATACTATAAACATCGGCTGATCGAGTGTATGGGCGTCCACGTATAACTTCAGGTGCTACATAGGGAAGCACGCCACGAATAATTCCGTCGTTTTCGGAGTTGTCCCAACAAAGGCCAAGGTCGCTTATCATTGTCCAACTGCCAGATCGTAGAATATTGCCAGTGTGCAGATCTTTCTTTTGTAGAAACAATTGTCAACATTCACCTTTACAATATTACAACTCAACTGGTCATCTATCAATTAAACTCAAAGTTGCTTACATGCAAGAGTCCGGCTTTATGGATGGTCACTAACCCATCTGCAATATCCTGAAGGGTGATAATCTTTTGTTTCCAAGTAAAATTATCAAAATTTTTGTAGAGATATTTTCGAAGATCTCCATCTTGAGCATAAGAAGTAACGATAATTAACTCGCGAGTTGAAGGACAACGAGAAATACCATAACAGCGTACTACGTGGCTAACTAATGTGCTAAATTGGTAATATGCACCCAACTAATCAAAATGTTAACAGAAACAAAAATATTTTTAGTATTGATAAGATAAACCATTACGCATATATAATACCTCTTCCAAAAAACTAGCTGTCACATTATTGGAATTATTTATGCGCTTCAAAACAATCATGTCTGAATCCATATGTTTCCAGCCACGTTCCCAGTCATTTTTCGTCGTACTCCATTCTCGTATAGGTCCTCGAGTCCAGTTTGCCGTGAATCTAATAATTAAATAGCATATTATCAATAGAGATGTTTTTATAATCCACAGTTGTCATAATACCCACACCGAACTACTTCCTCCATTTGCAAGGTGTTTTACATTACTGAATTCTTCGTATTCTATCCACTCTTAATACTGATCTAACATTGGTAGCTCTGCGTTGTGCTTTTTGAATAAAGCTATCAATCTCTTTAGTACCACTCGACCAATCTTCGAAATCCTTTTGAAAATAATCGGTATTACAATATTGACACCAATTATAATCGGTTCTTGGACTTTTGCATTCCTCACATTGTCCAAAATGTCCTAACGGTCGCGAAGAAGAAATCCTGACAGTATGTTGATTATGCGAACGGACAGGTAGAGGCCTGAACGAGGGTAATTTTTTAGGAGAGACAGCACGTTGGAGGACTTCCTTAGGTGAAGAAGAAGGTAGGGGTTGTACCCAAGTGAGCGGACCTTTGAAGTTTTAGGTTAACTCGGCTTCATTATTTGCCGAGTGTTCATCAATTGGGACTAAAGTATTCTTAAGAGATGACTTTTTTTTTTCTGGCGATGTAACGCAACTGCTATATGAGTTTGAAGTAGTAACTGGGGGCAAAAGTTTTTTAGTAATTTCAGTAGAGGCTGGGTGTGGATGTAATTCAGCAGTTTCGGAAGCGAAGAGTGGATTTAGCTTTGGAGAGTCATCAGCGGATGCCAGCAATTTAACGATTTCTGCAAATTTTGTCTATAGCAAACCAATTAAGACAATTACCAATGGCCTTTTTTATTCTTACACTGTTTTCTTTACACTGTTGTCTGTGCGAGCTGAGTTTGATATTTTTGACTTTCTCAATTACTTTGACTCTGGCTGCTTCAAAGTCCCCTGGACTCTCTAGCTCTTCTGGAAGCTCGAGTCCATTGTTCCGTGCCAGGTTTGTAATTCTTTCCCTCATCTCGGCCCCATAATTTTTGTTCACTGCTTCTGCCAGGAGTTTCTTGAGTTGACAGAGTCCAATCAATTTGGTCAATGTGACCCACATATGCATTTCTTGTCTGTTCTGTGTCTTGACCTGTGTCTTCTTGAACTTCAGTATATGTAGGCTTGTTGCCTTGAGGATTATCTCTCTTAGGCTGTACCATAGCTCATCACCATCCGTTCCAGGCTCAGATATCCTTTTATAGGCCTCCACCTTCTCTTCTATGTGTCTGATCTACTTCTCCCATTATGCTGGGTCTGTGCCTGACCAATTGTACTAAACATTGGGTACTTTTTGAATGTTTCTTTTCTTTATAAGAAGGGGGAAGAACACAAGTATTTTAGATTGTGATTCCATGGTCACTTTTGTATATCTATTTATACTCGTTCTTGATTTCTGCAAAGAGGAGCTCCACGTGTCTATTTTGCATTATCCATATCTGGTCGATCCTGCTTGCTGTTTTCACTTCAACTTCTTATGTGTACTCTCTTTTCTATGGATTCGCTGATCAGAATGTGTCTAACATGTCTCAGTTCTTGAGATCATTGATTAGGATGTTGTTCGATGACAACTTGTTCTCAAAGTGATGATGCTTACTTGGGAATCTATCATACTGGACATACTCATATAATTCAAGTCTCCTGCCACTATAGTATTCCAGTTTGCTTTATAGCTCAAGTTAAGCCACCTTGTTATCTTCTTTTTAAAGTGTGGTCTGTCCAAATGCTTTGCTGGTGAATATAGATCTATAATCCTTAAGTATTTCTTTTGTGAAAATATCAGATTTAGCATGATTGTTCTTCCTTCTATGGTTTACTTGTTTACTATTTTTTTTTCCAGTTCAGGTCTGAGGGCCACTGTGCCTTGCTTTTGATCTGAATTGATCTAGTGACACTCATACTCTTCGATTCTCCAATATTTTGATGTATAGTCTTTCACATTTGTTTCAGTACTGATAATGAAATCCCAATTCATTTCCTGACATAAATCTGTCCAAAAAGTTCTGTTCATTTCTTTGTTAAGGCCTCTTGTGTTCGAGGTTGTGATCTGTACTATAAAGCCCATGTCTATTGGATTTGATATTCCTGTGCTATTTGTTTTCATGTTTTGAGTATTGTCCATAAAAATTTCTTGATTGTTGGATTTATCAAACATAAGATTTTATTGATTTTGATGGTGATTGTCTGTCAGGGAGCCTATAGCCTCAAGTGCTCTCTGCATGTTTGCTTGAATGTCCTCCATTGTTTTGTTGATCTGTTGCTGTCTTTCACAGATGTCTGCTGTTTCCTGGGTTTGAGAGGTGACTTCTAAACTGCTGACACTGTTTCTTCATAATGCGTCCAACTCTTTTTCACCATTGTCCAAGTCTTTTTACATCTCTTTATAGTATTCTTGGTTGTATGCTTCCAAGTTGGTGACCCTTTCATCCAGGTCTATTACCATTTTCTTGAGGCTTGCAACCTCTTTCTGTATTAATATGAGCATTGACATGATTTCACGGATGTCTGGGAGTTGCTGTGTATGCCCTTGTTAATGAAAAGGCTGTTTCTGCCACCTATGCTGAGTTTGTTCCTAGTTTGCCTTGTCTTATTGTTTGCCAGTCACTCTTGCTGCTACTGCATATGATGCTGGTTTGGCATTTCTCTTGTTTTTCGGGGAGAAGTCTGCTCTAAGTTCACCCATCTAGTTGATTTGAATTTGCTATAAATTTGTACGTACTTTTTAGTTTGAGTGTGGTTGAAATTCCTCCATTGTTTCCTCCGTTCCTTGATAGGGCAGTCTCTGGTGAGGTATGTTGTTGTATCACAGATGAAACATAGTGATATGCTAATGAGGGTCAGGAAAATGATAGTCTCACCTAGGATAAAGGTCAAATCCTTAGCTATAAGGAGATTTTCTTTTGTTTTGAAACTTAGACTACAAATTTCTTGAGTCGATACCTTGTTGAGCATGTGTGTGCCTTCATCTTACTTAGGACCTATCTCAGGTCCCATGCTGTGATGCCTGGTAGCAAGTTGACCAGTTTGACTGCTATGCTATATCATTCCCTCATCTGGTCCACGAACCAGTTGACATCATTTATTCTGACTGCATCCTCTTTGATGAGAATGCTACACTGCTTAACTAGTTCCTCCTTAACTGTCTCTTCTTCAAAAGTGATAGTAGCACACTACTATAGATTTTGTGTTCTTATACTTATTCCTGATATGTTGTCAAATCTGGCAAAGTGCTGCTTGACCTCCATGAGTCTTGTGTTCAGGGGTATGTCCCAGACCACTATGGATTTACCCTTTTCGATCATTTGTCTGCTAATCTGTATGTATGTGAGCTTATTGTCACCTAGATTTGATAACTACATTCTGGTTGCGTTTTCTACTACTTGTTGATCCCCAAAAATTGCGATAATTCAGGTGCCTTCCTTATTATGTTTGCTGCAGATTGCAATGAGTCCTGGGGGAGTTGAAGGCTTTAGTTAAGTAGAGGATCTTTGGATCATTGTTTGGGCCTGGGGTGATGTTGGCATCAATTCCCACTTTGAATCTCTCTTTTCCATATCTAACTTCTGGGTTGACTGGTGTTCTCAGTCTAGGCTTGTTGGTAAGGCGAGCCACTTTGTTCTTCTGGTTTACTAGTATCTAGAGCTCCTGCTCATTTACTTCGGTGGTCAACTCATTCTGTATTGTAATATTTTATACTCCTGATGAAATGCTTACTTCTTTCTGAGTGTGTTTCTGGTTTGACTCTCCTTTTGCCTGGAGTACATGTTTGGCCGGAAGGGTTTTGCTGTCGTTTTTCACTTCTTCCATCTATTTGCTCCATGTTCGTTCTGCTTGAAGGGTTTCAGTCTCTATGTCCATATTTGTTGACCAGTAGTTGTATCCGTTAAGTCTTCCTGTGAGTTCATTTCCTTGCTGTCATGATTAGGTCAGCTTCCGAAGTTATTGATGTCTTGGTCTGTGTGTTAGTGAACTTCTTAATATATAGTTGATTACATAGGGAGGCAATTTTCTTGCTCCTTCTTTTTACCCTTTGATGCCTTTCTATTCTTTATTGTTCAAGCTGTGAAACTTTGGGGTTTTTAGTGTTGGAAGCCATTTCTCTGTTATTGAAGTTGCTGTGTTTCAAGTAATTGAGAAAGAGTTTTGTTATATAAAATTGAAGAAATTAAATAATTAATAACTTTTCACAAAGCTCTAAGAACCTTTCAACAACTCCAAAGGCATTTACATTTTCAAATAAACTTTGAGAATTTGATTCAAAAATTTTAAATAATACAATAAGTGAAATGCTTCAAAAACCCTCAAAGAATAATAAACTTTTATACTAGAATTCAAAAATCATGAAAACTCTTTAAAACTATATTTTAATTCTTCAAATATTTCTATAAATAATTTTATATTAATTGTTTTGAAACATTTATAATAGAAAATGGTAGTATTATCTGGGCATCTAATAATTATCATAATATC